GAGGGGATACAAGTTTTTGGTGTGGCTTATTTTTGTTCCAAAATTACCCTTATTTAATTGTAATATTTCCATAATTATCTATGCAGTTTGTTTTAATTACAACCATGTGTGAGTAAGAATCTCAACCGCTCAACCAAAACGAAAACCGCCGTACACAAACATTTAAGTGTGAAACAACTGCTCTTCATTTCAATAGCAAAACAAAAGTAATTACAAAACTTGGTAGAGAATCCTGAATAACAATGGAGTAGACTCTTATCGTTTTTTTTTCTTTTTTTCTTATCTACATATTATCCTTTCCTTTCTCCATCCCTCTAATATATTTTTTTTCATGTTTTCACTTTTTAATTTTCTTTTAGATATGTTCTTAAACATGATAAGGTCAAAATAAATCATTTAATATTATCACTTTTGTATATGTTCATGTATGTTTTATTGGTTTATTCAATTTAATTTAATTTTGTTTTGTTCTAATGTGTAGCTTTTGATTTTAGTGTCTGAGTAAAAATACATTGCTCTAATTTTACAGGTTTTGATGAGATTGTCATTTTTCTGTGACTAATAATTTAAGAATCATATATATTTTCATCATTTTAGTGTTAATTTAGGAATCATATATATTTTTACCGTTTTAGTGTTAATTTAGGAAATCATATATATTCTCACCATTTTAGTGTTAATTTAATAATCATACATATATTTTCACCATTTTCACAATTACTCAGTTTCTTTCTTGGTCAATCTCTACCTTTTCTCCTTCTGCATTTTTCTTTCGGTTTTCACAATTACTCAGTGACAATCTCTGTTATGGTTAGTTTTATGCATTTTCATTTTGTAGGATAAGCGGATAATGTCACAATAAAACCATGGCAAAGATCAAAAAGGTTGATGATTAATTTGTGGACATGAGTGAAATTAATATTTGTTTTGGTGAACATGGTAATATATTTTGATATGTTAGCATGCATTAAATAGTATTAGAATTGACCATTAAAATCTTTTTATGAAATTGAATGCATTTTCTAATTCTTTTTTAAAATTTTCCTTACAAATTGTAATTGCTTCTAACATTGTTAACGGATGAAACTTAAACTGCATAACTCTACCATTTCAGATGCACGACATTTGTTTCCATGTCTTTCATTTCCAAACCCATGATAATAGTAACTTAATGCCATTGTAAATCATTTTTGGATGTTTGGATGTTATATATATTTTTTCAATTTCACATCAACTGATAGCATAGATTATATATTCTGCATTGTTCAAATTATTTGTGTTTTCCTTCTCCACACATGTAAGTCATGTTTGTTTATCTATAGATTAGGTGTGGTCTGTGTCAATTTGGATGCTATATTCACCAAAGTATGATATGAAAACTAACCATTTACATTGATGTCTATGAGGTGAATTAAGTTTAATTGAATTGCGTTGCAGAAAATAGTTTTGATTTGATATTAAGGAAGTGATTGAAGAAGAAAATTTATGAGAAATCATCTTCCGATTATATATCGGTTTTCGATGAATTATTTTTGCAATGATAGTTCATGGATACCCAATTTAACCACAATACCACTGGGAAAATGTAAAAAAAAATATAATATAGACATAATTGATTATATTTGTTGTATTAAATTATGTGTCTACAATATACACAAAATGAAAGAAGTTGTATTATGTCTTCTCATACAGTTTTCCTTTTAATTATAGGGATTGCTACAACTATTTATTAAAATAAGACCTACAATTTACCAATATCGAAGGTTACGAGGAAAAAAGAAAGTATGCTTTTGTTATCCTTAATGGTATTTATTAAGAAAAAAGGTAAGCTTTTGCTGCTACCCTTAACAATAGTAGTTATTACATAAGACCCTCACTATTTTTTCCTACAAGTACAAGTAGTAGTTGCAAGTATGTTTTGTATTATATCAAAAAGACAAAGGTAAAATGGTTCATTGTATCCTTTTATATCTATTAATCATTTAAGAAGAGAGCGAAAACTTAGAAAATATTAGAAACTTTCTTATTCTTGCTCAGTAAACAATAATATTTTCGTAGTTTAATTATCATCAGTTGTCTTTATGGTATATTGTTATTAGTTTTTAAAACTTCTATTATTTTTACTATACTTTTTATTATATTAATTATTATTATTTTGGTTTTTTTTTAATTCTTTTCTATTCCCTTCTTATTTCCTTTTTTTCTGAATTTTTAATATAGTTTAATCCTTTTCTTTTTTTTATCCTCTATCTATTATATTTTTTAAAAAACTTTTTTACTATTGTGTATTTCAATTCTTTTGTTTTGTCTTTTTTTTAATTATATATTTTTATAGTTTATACAATAATGAGGAAGAGAGGGAAATTTCCAGATTCTTTAGGAATTTAAGAATTGTGATGCAATTTTCATGAAGTTGAATTTTAAATTTGAGATTTCCTTTCATTTATGAGATTAAAATTAGTTTAATTATGTTAGAATAGAAAAAGAAGTTTAAAATGTGAGGTGATCATTAGTACAAAATGATAACCATCATCATATAATAAAGATTAAAAAATAAGTCATTTATGTGCTAATCATAACTACAAAATAATGACAATGATTCATTGTAGTAATAGTTTTTTTTATAACAATCCTTTTTTTTTTCTTTAACAATTATATTAAAGTTTTAATTGACAAGATTGAATAGTATAAAGATAAAGACTAGGATTTTTTAACCAAATCATCCATCACTATAGATTTTGTATATTTAATGTATAGAGTCAATCTTAATCTAATATTTTCATGTCTAAAACAAACTTTTTAGAAATATTTCCTTTTACAAGTACATATACATGAATATTTATTTTAGAGACATATATGAATATTTATATGTGAGAGAGATGGAGATAGAGTCTAAATAATATCAGTATCTTTAGAAAGCATATGTTTTTTTAATAAATAAAGTAATATTATTCATAAAGGTATTAGGGATATCCTAACCCATTTACAAAGTTCATCATATACTATATCCTCCTAGATACAAAAAGATACAAAATAATTTTTAATTTTGATGGCTGATCAGAACCTGAAGTGGGTCAGAGACAACAATCTGATGCTAAAGTAAGAATTGAGAAAAAAGAGTGCAAGTACAGAGTATGTGTGTATTAGGATGAATATTGAATACTTGACCCTCCCAAATGAGAGGGTTTTTATAGTGCCACCAGCACTTTGCCACTTTTTTTAATTATAAACAATATATTTTGTTTAATTTTAATTTTAATATTAATTATTTATATGATAAAAAATATAACATATATTTATATTTTTTGTTTACGAAATATTTATATGATTGAGGAACATTTTATGGTATAACTGATAAAATAGGAAAACAAGATACCTAAAATTAAAGTATTAAGGTTTTATAGATATCCAATTCAATTTATATCAATGTTTGGTCTCTATGATTAAAATATGAGAAAAAAGAAAATGTACTGACAGTGTACTATTTTTAAACCCTAAAAATATATATTAACATCTATGTTTTATGTCATAACCAAATTATAAATACTCTCTCTTTAGCTGAAATGATATATCATTTTCGTCTAATATATTTTTTGAAGAACTAATAGAGCAATAAGGATTTTTTTTTAAAGCTAATCAACCAAAATAAATTTTGAAATCAAATGTATGATTAAAAAGATATTAAATATTTCATTTAAAATAGAAAAAAAGTATTTTATAGAGAGATATTTCAGAATGTATTTGTAGTTTTTTAAAGCTTAATAGCACATTGATAAAAGGATGTATGAATAATTAATTCAAATCTTTAACAGATAAAAAAATACTATATTACACTAATTACTATTAATTTCACTATTTTTTTCTCTAAAAAAATTCTAATATGAGACTCTTACATTTTTTATTTAATACGCAAAACAATGGCAGAAAAAAGAAACTTCTTATAATAAAGATTTAATGTTCGGTCTTCCTATTAAAGAACGTTATTGATTATACAGTATAAATAGTACTTTGTATTATTCGGTTATTTAATATATTTAGAATAACTTTGTTTATCATTTTCAAAATGTAATAATATTATTAGCATGTTTAAACTACATATATTTTTATCTAAATTTTATTTAATTCGATATGTTTAAAATAATAGTAACATTAATATATAGTTAATTCACTAAAGTATTTTTAGTATATATATATATTTATCATCCTGATTTTAAGACTGCTTGAAGGTATTTAAAAATATTATTTTTAATTAATCGTAAGTATGATAAATATTTCATACAAAATATATATATGTTTATTTTTCTATTCTGTGCACATTAAAAAAACGGACAGACGGACACGGAAGTGCCCGTCTAAACGCTAATACCTATAAATAACTTTTCATGTAAGAGACTAGAGTAAGTTGTTTTTTTTTAAATAAATAAAAAATCACTTTCCATATTAATATTAATATGTCGGCAAAAATAGGGATGCATTAATCTTTTCAAAATTGATAACCAATTATTATTATTATTATTATTATTATTATTATTATTATTATTATTATTATTATTATTATTATTATTATTATTAGTCGACTTGTTTTCTGCTCCATTCATTCACATGATTGAAAAAGACGATTTAGTTCAAAAGCTATTACTTCCCTGTCAAGCTTTTATGCTTACCCTACAACCCATCTTAATAACTTTTGAATCAAGTCAAATATTATTTTATTTTATATTATTAAATAATAATTCTATCCATTTTGAATTGATGTTGTTTGATTTGTCTTAAAAAAAACTTTCTTTTTTTTAATTTCTTTGCTATAATTTCAATATTTATTTATGAAAAAATTGTATTTAAAAGAATTACACGTGTGGGGTCCAAAATTTCCCACATTGATTAAAGTAATCTGTGAGATATCTTAACCGCATTCTTACACTATAGTATATAATATCCACTCACCTTGAAACCTTATCATTTCAATTTCAACAAGAAAAAACCTACAGGGAGCAATAGCAATGGGAGAAGAAAAAGAGATGAAAGTTGTTGAAGGTTTAGATCTTGAAAGGTATATGGGAAGATGGTACGAGATAGCTTCTTTTCCGTCAAGGGATCAGCCAAAGGACGGAGCAAACACGAGAGCAACATACAAACTCAACACTGATGGAACTGTTGATGTTCTTAACGAGACTTGGAGTGGTGGCAAAAGAGGTTTTATTCAAGGTTCTGCTTTTAAGGCTAACCCTAATAATGATGAAGCTAAATTCAAAGTCAAGTTTTACCTTCCTCCATTCCTTCCAATTATTCCTGTTACGGGAAATTATTGGGTTTTGGCTATTGCTCATGATTATCATTATGCTTTGATTGGTGAACCAACCAAGAAATCACTTTGGGTAATATGTCTTCTCCTTTCTCTTTGTTTTGTTATAACTTATTGGATTATTATTTACGAGTTATTTCACGCTCTTAAAGACGACTCTGAATTATTAATATGATTTTGATGAATTTTGGTTAACAGATATTATGTAGGGAGACTCGTTTAGATGATGAAATCTATAATGAACTTGTTGAGAAGGCAAAGGAAGAGGGATATGATGTTACCAAACTCCGCAAAACACCTCATACTGATCCACCCCCGGAGGAAGAAGGCCCCCAAGACAACAAGGGCATTTGGTGGTTTAAATCCATTTTTGGGAAATAGCTCTTGCATTTATATGATTAAGTTATGCAAATATTTTATCTCTGGTTTTTTAAGCATTCTGTTTGTTCTATGTATATGTTCTTTAAGATTTCTAGATATATTATGTATACACTTGGCTCTTGCTTTTACAAGTTTATTTGTTGATATGCTTAGACTTTGGATTTTCTTTACTCTTTTTCTCACCATTCATCTCCGTTTTCTCTATCCTTTAATGTCACTTTCTCTCTAAAGCAAAATAATTTTATAACGAAGAGAGAGAGAGAGTGAAACTAAGAGAGATAGAGAAGAAAGAGAGGAATGAAGAGAAAAATTGAGAGAATCTCAATTCATGTGCTTATGAGTGTGTTACTATTTTAAATTTTATTCATCTTGTTAAAAAATAAAATATCATGTGTAGCACTAGATATTATTCGTTTTAGGTATGAAAATCCATATGGTTAGAAATGTTTCTCGTTGGATTAAGAGTTATTATTTATAAATCATCCTTAATAATATGAGACTATTTTGGCCAATCCAAAATAGTTGCCTCCTAGACGAGGCTAAGAGACATGGTGTGAACATTGAGTTTCCACAATAATGTTCCATATTGGCCGACCTCAAGTCTGTGTCACTGTGCCTATGAGCTATTGTCTATTTTTGGTATGAGAACCTTCACGACTTTATCATTTAGAAAAAACGTTTTGTTGGGTTGAAGTGTATGTGTGTTGTTTATAAACTACTCTTAGCCTCGATTCTCAATCAATGTGTGATTTTTTTGGCCAATCTAGAACATTTGTCCTCAATCGAGGCTAAGGGGCATGGTGTGAACATCGAGTTCCCACAAACGGTGTCACTATTGTGCTGGGAAACCAAAATTGGTCGGTAATCGATGAATGTGAATAACAATGGTGGACATGAGCTTCTAGAGCGGTGAGACTAATGTGCAAGATTAACATTCTAACGCACAAGTTAGTATGAGACTAAGATGAGTGAATGAGATTTGAATTCAAAAAGTACTTGGGAAATGACATGTCTCCTTTTATATAGTTAAACGGTTGTAACTGTTTGTTGATCTATATGTGTGTAATGCGGCGATCCGTCTAATTGATCTTGGATGGAGATAATATGCATTCTTGACCAGGATAACACACTTGATCTTCATGTGACGCGGTGAATCGTCCTTTTCTGTGGGCCATAATTATTAGGCCCTTCGCTCGGTCCAAAATAGATTTCTAAAGCTGTTGTTGAAGTATGCCTTAAAATTTTAAGTGATGAAGAGAAAAAAAAATGTTTTAAGATTCCAAAAACCAGTCACTGGCGGCGGCACAACAGTGGGTCCGAGTCAGGTTCGGTTTGTCAGAGCTCGGGTCTTGTTTTCTTGGGTTGTGTGTTTTAGGTTTCATTAATGGGTTGATTTTTGGGATTGTTATGGATTTGTTGAATTATAGAAATTATAAATTTGTATCTTTTGCATTCTTGTTATGACAACCTTCAGAATATTAAATTTGAAGACAAAGAAAATGGTTTCTTAATCATAGTGGTAATCTTAGAGAGTTAAGGGTAAATTCTTATGAGTGACTTCTTGGAATTTAGAAAATCCTTGGAGATATCTAGGAGGGTTCGGAAATACTTCTAAATACTCTGTGTAAAATCCTAAACCCTGAAATTTATATAAAAAGGTTTACTTGGCAATTTAACGTGTCACTAACAACAACTCTTCAATAAAACATAAACATTTTGAAAACACGTAGCAGAAAAGTAAACAACATACGACACCTGTCATCGCTTGCTCACCTTCACTTAGGGTATCATCACAGTGAAACTACATTAATCACGATATAAAACATATAACTTCAAATTTAGGTGTTATAAAGACTTAACTTGCACAAAATGATTCAAAAAGGAATTTCAATATCCCACTTTTAACAACTTCAAAACAACACAACATGATAGTTATTTAACTTCGACGAGATAAGTAAGTCGACATCAAACATAATAAAGAAAATATTTTTTTGTCCCAAGTATTACAGAATTAGAGCATAGTGACTAATTAAAAGAGATAACTAAAGAAAACAACTCCAAGAGTTATTCCTCACTCACAACAACAACTCTACTCCTGAATATTTGCAAGATGTCCATGATGGACAACATCAAAGTAAAGGGAGTGAGAATTCACATCAATAAATTAACGGCATAACCTGCAAGGTAGAATTCAAACATCTACACAATCCACATCAATCACAGAACACCATTCTCACACCCAATCCATCATCATACATAAAGCAATCATGCATTCATCAATTAAATTATGTAATGAGACTCACAACTTCAACTAGACTCATATTCATGTGGTACCATATCACTATTAATTGGTTCACTCAGGAACCGGGTTCACCCTGCTCGAACCTGAATCCACCCTACTCGGATTGCAACTTGCCTCTTTCATCAACAACAACGACATATTGAATGCATGTCACAACACGTCAATGCAACAACAACATAATGTTTAAAGTCTCCTCCCGACAAGAAACAAAATATGCATTGACCCAACGATAATAGTTCCTCTCCTGAACTATCATCCCTGTAAGTTATGTGGTTTTTGGTTTGACAACAATTTTGTTAAAATAAGTTCACAACATAATGTTGAGACAGATGCCTTGACAAGTCAGTCAGACATCATGATCAGCATGATATTGGGACATGTGGCAAGACATGTTATACCAGAAGTTAAGGGTTGTGACGATTTGGTATTTAAAGTGTGAGATTTGATAGTATTTTAATTCACACAGTGTCGCAATCCAATGAGGGATATTTTAGGAACTTCTGTCTTGACAGATTTGCTTGTATTTCATAAAAAGGATCTTGGAGTCTTTTTAGAAAACTTTCTATTGAGTTCCTATTTATGTGAAGAAGATCTTGCAAAGGATTTAAGCTGATAATTTGTGATTTGCAGTTTATTTAATTAAAGAGCTCAAGCCATGTTGATCTGAAGGTTGTGTAAAGAGGAGTTCTAAACCTAATGAAGTGTGAAGTCGTGTATTGAAAGAAAGATTTTTTAGGGTTTAGAAAGTTTTGTGTAATTTGTTATTTGTGATTCTCTCTTATGTCTTTTGACATTTGAGTTGGACTATTTTGTTTTTGCATTTGTGAGTCATTCATGTACTCATTAGGTACTTAAATTGGACTGAGTTTAGAGTTGTAATCACTCCTAAGATTTTAGGCAAAAAACTGATTTTTGTGGCTTTGGAAGTGTGACTTCCAGTATTCTTTATTGTTGAGTATGCCATTGTTATGTGACTGGTGAAAAGTGAGAGGGGTCACATATCTAGGAGTTCCTAGGTAGAAGTTAGCACGGGTAGTGATTAAGTGAGAAGCTTGTAAACCTATGGGTGTTTGTTGTGGCTTTGAACTGATACTATTATAGTGGATTTCCTTCCTGCTTGGATGTCCCCATATGTAGGTGATGTTGCACCAAACTTGGTTAACAATTGACTGTGTTATTATCAAGCTCTTATTTTTGTCTGCATAAGTGTTGTTTTCTATCTTGATCACAGTGTCCTAACATCTGTCTTGACATCTGATATCTGTGTACCAAAATTTTAATCCCACAATAACATATTCATAATTCGACAACATAATTAAGACTCATACAGCAGCATGTCACCATCACAATTCACAACAATTAACACAACACCATCATCATGTATGCACATATCCAAAATTCATCAATTACTTCATAAATTCGATTAAAATCATGTTTAATCGTTAAATCATTGCAACATCATATAAACAACATATAATAAAGTATAATAGTACCCAAAAAATCCACAAAAAATGAACAAAAAATTGAAATTTGCCATTTAATATCATCAAACAACTATTTACGCCTACTGTAGGCTCATGACGGGTTACCCGTCACTGACCCCAAAATCCAGAACGTCACTCAAGTGACGAATTGCTTGAAAGACAAGTTTGGGCCACATGACGGGTTACCCGTCACGGTGGTGACGCCCGTCAACGCCCTGAGAATTGCAGAATTCGTTTCTGCTAATGGATTTCACTGTAGAACTCCAATTTTCTCATCCCAACCATACAAATTTGATACAGAGATATCACACACATGTTATATTTCATTAGTGTGTCAAACTGCATCAAATCAACACTTTTAAATTCATGGTTTTCATAAAATTGTGTTATTCCCAAAACCTTCAAACACACAATAGTGGTGAAAATATGTTCATTCATCAAAATAGAATTTGTCACACATCATGATACACGAATTTCATTACCAAATCATCATCACAACAGCAATCAATCATCGACTAACAGAATTTTATTAAAATTCCAAAGCCTTATTAGAGGTTAAGGACTTCTCAATTCTACTCCTCATGCATATACCCATTATTGAGATAGTTCTCCCCCTTACCTGACTATCCTAACAACAGGGAAATTTTTTTTGACTTTGATTCTCTAAATCCCTCCAAGTTCCTAGCTTTGCTCTTGCACCTTCTCTAGCCTCTTCTCTATTTCCAAATTATGATTTTGTGTATGATAGAAAAACTCCCTAAAACTAGATTATCTCTTATTTTATATAATTAGGGTACTCTAATCGAAATTATAAACTCATATCTCACTTACTAACATTCTCTTTCCTTCCTCCGCTCTATTTTTCATAATTCTCAATTCAACCTCATAATCTCTATTTTCTATTAAATTAATTAAATTAAAATAAAATATTATTATTTTAATTACTAAAATAATCCTAATAATTCTAGCTCACTTCTATCAATTTCTAATTACTCCTACACCTTATCTTGAGATCACAACCCCCATCACCCAAATTAATTCAATTATCGCACATAATAATTCTGACATACTATAACATAAACATGAAGATCAAAACATAGTTAAAATCATAATTTTTTAAAACAATTATATTTCAAAAATGATTTTTATGAAAAGCTATTTGAGATAGCTTCAAAATTTAATAATTTTTTGAAATTTTGACATTAATAAAAATT